CAGCTCCTGCAGCTATGACGTCTTGAATTTATAATATCTGCATGGAAGGGACTCGACCGTGTGCTCCATAGGCGGGGTTGGAACAGGGGCTCCAGAGTTGATGGTCAGTCGCTGGGCGAAAGGCTTCGGCTTCGGCTTTTCAACTGAATGAAGTGGATGTGGAAGAGGGTCATCCACGGTTTGGTATGAGGCTTTCATAGGTCATCCGAACTCGGGGGCCATGTCATCCACTTCCCTGACATGATTTCAAGTGTATGCCCTCCCACGGAAGACATTGGAAGACCCTTTGTCTCTGGCTTTTACATGTTATTTGTTTGAGGGAGGGTAGCTAGCCGAAAGGCTCTGTCCACTGCTCTGTCCCTAAAACACTCCTACTGTAAACATGCCTTCGATGATGAATAATTCGGATCAAAGCGCCATTTGCCCACAAAGGTGTCCTTCGAATCCTACATTTATGTAGCTGCCAGTTACCAGGGGCACCTAGTTAGAATCATGACTCTTCGCTATTTCGGCGTAATAAGGAAATCCCATGAAGCTTCCCTAAGAATCCGAGTGGGCCCGAGCCAAACCCTATGTGTTTGAAGGCCCGGATTCTTAGGCTTATAGACTATACCTGGACCCTCCAGGGTGTCCAATGGACTACCCCACACTACCTATAGGCTTCCACTGGGCACCCCTTGGAGGGTCCTGGTATATAGATGTTTGGTTCAGAGGTTCCAGGGCCATCCCATCATTCCAAATCGGATTTCCTTTGGCACCAGTTCGAGCCGTGTCAGGCAGGCCTCCGTTTGACCATCCGAACGGGAGGTCTGGAGTCTGGAGCCTATCCGCAACTGTTTAACGGATATATATATATATATGGAACGTTCACCCACATTGGGGTGCTTGAAAAATGGGTCAAGGGGGCGGCATATAACTCTATTCCAGCCAGTCCCAGCCAGTCGTGGCGATCGATGGCGGAGACAAGGCCGGTCCGGAGACAAGGCCACCATGGCACCCAAGAGCCCGGTGGTGCGAAAGAACAAGAGGAGACTCCTTATACATTGAACATACTTGGACTATCTGGACTATACTGTACACATACTATATATATTATATAGATCGGCCGGCAATTCTCAAACAAATCCAGGGACTTTTGAGTTGCCTCTGAAAACATGGGACTATAACAGAGCAGAATCTGATGGAACCACCGTCCGCGCCGAACGCCGCACCGTCGACGCTTGAGCCGAGCCGACGCAAGCCGAGTGGCCGAGGAACCTATTTCTTCCAAGTGACCCAGCTATAGTAAGTCCTGGCTATTAGGTTGGAGGCCATTACTAAAAGCTACTAAACTTCACAGGTCACCACCTGCCACTTTTAAGTCCTGCCAAAGGCATTTCGGAGACCTGTGGAGTCGAATGTTGTGTCGGTGACCGGATAGGACTCCGGTCGCGAACGGAGACGAAGCGGCCTCGACACGGAGACCGGGGACGGCTGGCGACTAGTGTCGAGCATTTGTTGATCAAGGGGACGGAAGCCATATCAAACAACCAAACCAGGAGTCACAAAACCAGGTGCCAATCTTGGAGGAACGCGGGGTGCCCAGAACATCATACTCTGTGCTCATGGGACTAAATACCACCCGCAGAAAAATGTGACGGAATATAGCCCTTCGTGGCACATTCTGCCCCGTGAATTCACCGGCGTTTCGGGGGCCAACCACGAGTGAAGTTGGATAGAAACCTAGCCTTTGCCGGCAAACTAGCCTATAAGGTCTCAGCACTTATGGTCTATCCTTACGTGCTCACACATTCTCCCGGAAGTTTCACCCTCGGAAGGCTTCGGGACCCACGTGGGTCCCAAGCCTTCCAAGGAGAATCGGAGAATGTCGAGAATCGTGCTGCAGCAAACTGCTGCAGGGGTGAAGGCGGGTGAAGGGGTGAAGGTCGTGTTCCAAGTTGTGGGAGAATCTCTTTCAAACAGGTGCCAATGCCGCTCGGAGCGCGACATCATCCATCATGGTGCTTCCGTGGATGGCATGGCCCCGCGTTCGAAGGACCATGCAATCCGAAGACCAAACGGGTGGTGAACTCCACTTCCATATGTGAGTTTGACTCGGAATGTAATCCAGCTCGGCGTTTCTACATCAGTTGCCAGACTCGTGGTGGATTTGGCATGTGCCACAGGGTGCTTGGCATGCGAGTTGGGTCCTCTCCTCCCACCAGCCCCCTCCCCTTCATCCCAATCTCTTCTGTGAAGTCGAGAAGACCCATCTGGGCCAACAGGGTTGTCCACCTCTCCACGCAAGGACTGAGGAACACCCGCTCTCCATCTGAGCATGCTTCCCTCATGAAGCCTCCCATAAGCCTGCCCTTCACTTGTTCCACAGGCAGTGATTCCCACCCAGTTTCGATTGAAAAAGGTCTCAAGGCTGTTGGATTTCGATCGACTCTTCGACGACATCTCGGAACCTCATCTACCCAAGACCATCCAAGAGGGGATGGTCTTAATCTGTCTGAGCCTACATCTTGGATGGTTCGGTTCTACTCTTTCTATCCAGTTCTCTCCTGTCGCTGGATTAGCAGGATATCCAGGATATTCCAGGCTGGAAATTCCAGGTGATCAAAGTCTCATCGTGCCGCCCTGGCTTTACATGGGTACAAGAAACATGTTACTGTTAAACTGTGTCAGCTGAATCGCCCAATGTGTCAGCTTCCAGGAGGATTGGGAACCATCATCATGTTCAAATCCTGCCGTCAGATCTGCGGATCTGCTGATCTGCAGTCTGTCAAAACACGTTATTAGTTGTACAGTATCTACCACGAGTCGCGCGTGAAGCCGACGTCAAGTACCTTTAAAAGAATTGGACATGAGCTTATATTAAAAACATATTTTACTTCTATGAACAAACACTTAAGTACAGTACCTTTATATAGAGAATGGGACACGACCTTATATGACAAAAAAACAGGTACTTCATGGTACTTCTATCATCTTGTACCCAATTTTCCAGGGACAAACTGATACGTACTCAAGGTTTAATGTTCTAGCACCTCGGCCACGGCCATAGGTCCCTGAAGTGCAAACGGTTGTTGCCCAAGCAATGCGCACAAACATTCCCATGTTCAATCATGGAACGGTTTCCAAAGAAACAACAACAACGACGACGACGACGACGGGTTTCTCTAATTACAATAATTGTTTCTTATAGGACCTGGATTGTCGTCGAAACCCAACGCAGTTGCTCTTCCTGCTTTCGAGGAAGGGAGTCGGAAGTCGATTCCACTCGACACATCCGGACGCGCTGCCTGGCAGCATGACTCTGCAAGTCATGAACCCTCTGTGTCGCTCCCAATCAGGTGTCCCTCAAGATCCAACTGATCCAAATCCGGTGTTGCTGAAGTGCCATTCGATGGTGCTGGCAGTGAAGTCCTTATAGCTAATACGCTAATTGATGCATCACTCCGATCCTCACCGAAGAATCCGGCACAACCCCCAATGGCCCAGGACCGCACATGACTTGGTTGGATTTACGGCGGCTCCTGGGAACCCTGGGAAAACATCAAAGATCAACCAATCACCTTTTCTCCCCCCTCAGGATGACCCGGGATGACCCAGTTCCGAGGTCACCCAGGCCCGTCTTGAGGTCCGAGAACGGTGATCTGCACGGTCGGCTGCGCCAATTCTTCATTGCTTTTGGGATCTTGTGCAATAAATAGCCAGTATCCCTTCAAGTCCTTGAGTATGATCATGAACATGTTATAACATGTGATAAATGGGGCTCCAGCAGTTCCATGTCGCAGTGCTATTCCATGGAAGGTCTTGGGCCTTGGGGTGCCCCTGTCACATCCACTCACTTATAGGATCAAAAAACCACCGCTGCCCTTTTGGAACTCCTGGGTTGTTGCATCTTTTGAAAATGGCCAACAGCTTTCCACATCCGTGGAACTGGAACCAGCCGCTGCGCACGTCTCTATCTGCGCCCCGATTGGGATGGTCTCGTTGACCCTCGCGTTCAGGTGTGTCATCCGGTTAGGAGGATGGTGTTTTTGGGAGTTCTGAGCCGGTCATACGTTCGCCTGGGTGCCATATGTTGGACGCACACCATGACATGAAGGAGCTGTTTCCACGTAAAATGGACTCACAAGAGTGGCTACAGGGAGGGGGACTACATTTCTTCGAGCACAAAGAACAACATATATAGATTGGCTTTAAACAAAGAGTGTCGAGTCGCGGCTACATCTTCGCTTCTTTGCCCCCCTCCCCACAGTCCTGAGTCAAAAAAGCCTCAAAGGGGTCCACCCTGGTGAACCCCATCGTGCGCCTGGTGAACCCCATCGCACGTGATGATGGGCGTGAAGGAGGCGAACAGAGATCGACGTTCGTTCAAAAACCCCCGACGTTCTGGCGCACAAATATGCCCCGCGCACTTTTTTCTCGGTGTATACCCATATGAAGAACTTCCCCCCCGTAACGGCCCCCTCCTGTCGAAGTCCCCATCGAGTCCGCGTGCGCGCCACGTCCGCGAACCCCCGGCCATGCCGTCGGAAGAAGGACCGATCGGTATGGATCCAAGGATCCATACCTCCGGTCATGTAGACTCTTGATTAGTACCCCCCCACATGAAAAGGATGTGTCCAAATGGGATAGTTGATTCATCATCTACATGACGGTGATGTGTTCGTTCCATGTGTGAAAAACACGTGTTGCGCCAGTGTCAGGTCCTGAAGTCCCTGGGTCCCCGTGGATCCGGTCTCACCGTGTTCCACGAAATCCAAGGAGTTCTGGCTGGGGTCTATGGGGAACCCCCAAGTGCCTGGTGGGTCTATCAGAATCGGCAAGCGTAGGTCGTCATGGCTTCGAACTCTTCCACCCAAATTTAGCTCCATATCATCTCTTTGTCCTTTTTCCACCTTCACTGCGTCTTGGGAGGCCATGAATGCTGGGCCGGTGCCAGGTCTCAGTTGTATACCCGGTCGATCGGAGACCGTTTCAATGCCACCATGCTGGAACCGCCGCACTCAGCTGCTCCGTCGGATGAAGGTCGAATCCTCGTCAAGAACAAAACACACCAGCGATTTCGGGCCAGCGAAAAGCCTTTCGCGCTGCTTATCGGTCAGAAAACAGAACCAATGGAATCGGTTAGGAGCAGAACAACAATGACTCAATGGCCCTGTCTTCATTCCTCTTTGGTTCTACGTCAGGTCGCGTTCCAAGTCTCAAATCGCAGCTGAAAAGTGGACCAGGTGCTGATGGGTGAAAATTTGATTGATGGGTGAATTCCATCATTTTTGGTTGATTGGGCTTAAAAACTAGCACACCTATCCTCCAGTAGGCACACCTTTGTGAGTCCTAGTGTAACTATATGTAGGTAGGTAGTGGGCCTGGGGAAGCCTACTAAGTATCCTAAGTAACAATAGTAACAAATCCCCTGTTCATGCAGACCAAATCCATCCTGTGATCCGATCGCCAGATTCTCCAGGGGCAGCACAGGTGCAGCTGCCTCCAAATCCCACAGATGATCGACGGGAACCCTTTTCGTTTCACCCCAAAGCAGGTTCCAACAAAATCGGTCGATCGAGAGCGGAGTTCGCTCGCCCCCCCGCCAGATCCGTCGTTGGCCTCCAGATCCGTTCGCTGATCAATCCGGAAGACCTTCAAGTTCTGCGCCTGGTGCCTGGCAGCGGAAAAACTCCGCGGCACAGTCTGGTGGTGGCCCTGCCGGATGAAACATCATGAAACTGTTTATGGCAGAAGTTGGGCAACATAATAAACACTGAGACCACCTTTTCTTGGTTACCCTTAATCAATTTCAATGTTTCTTACTTGGAACAGGTTTTGGGAATGGAGATGAAAGGGAATACGCGCGCCAAAAACAATTAAATTAAAACTAGAACAGGTTCGAGTTTGAATTAGTATTGAAATAGAATTTACGTAGTTAGAATTGAATTAAAATTGCATTAGATTGAGCTAGAAAATTGAAGAGGAACTGAATTTGAACAAATTTAGAATTGAATTAGAATCTAGCTTAGAACTTAAACTAAAACCGAAATAGAATTATGTTAGAACAAACTTCTAACTTTTTCAGATTTGAATTACTCTTGAATTAGACTTCAAGTAAAACAGAATTCAACTAGACTTGAATTAGAACTGAATTTAGCTTTTTAGGGTACACTTATGGTGGTTTCAGGAAAAGTATTTTGTTTTATTTAGGGTATGGTGGCTTCATGGGGAGTACCCTTTTCAGAGTGGATTTAATCAAATTTCAATGTTTCGTTTGAGCTGTACTCGATTTATAAATTTAAAAGAAATGTTATTAGAAGGTCGGTATTGTGTATTAGCAAGTGGTGAGATGCAACGGAAAGAAGACGCATCGGAAGACGAAGAAGGAATCCAAAGAAGCATTCACAAAGGAGTGAAAAAACTATAAAACCTGAACACTCATTTTTCAAGCTCAATGCTCAGGCAAAACAACTGTTTAGCTTTTGAGGTACACATATTCAGGTTATGGTGGCTTCAAGAAATTCTTTAGCTTTATCAAGTCTACACTTTAACTGGTTTGTTTTTGTTTTCCCTTGTTCCCGAAAGCATTGCGAAGGGTTCTTCCGGAAAATCCTTTGAACACTGACACTTCGACACTTACACTTCGACACTCACACTTACACACACACACACTGGAAGAGCGAAAGCATCCAAGTGCGAAGTATGCCAGTGTCAAAGTATGCAAGTCTTGTAAGTGTAAGTATGCAAGCATGATATGCAAGCGTGAGTATGCAAGCATGCAATGACTATGCAAGCATGCAATGAGTAGGCAAGTGTGAGTATGGAAAACTAGCACGGGAGATGTCCTAATGAAAAAACATTTCCCCACTTTATAAATTCTCTCTTAAAGGCGGAGGGCGGGACGAACAGCGTCAACCGAAAGTGCAACCCTCTGCGGAGATCGTGCGTGTCCGAGAGTGCGATTTGTCCGGTCCGCGCGCAGCCCTCTGCGGAGATCGTGCGCGTCGAGTGCGCGAAATGCAGGCGAGAGTGCGATTTGCCGGCTGCGCGCGCAACCCTCTGCGGAGATCGTGCGTGTCGAGTGCGCGAAATGCAGGCGAGAGTGCGATTTGTCCGGTCCGCGCGCAACCCTCTGCGGAGATCGTGCGTGTCGAGTGCGCAAAATGCAGGCGAGAGTGCGATTTGCCGGCTGCCCGCGCAACCCTCTGCGGAGATCGTGCGTGTCGAGTGCGCGAAATGCAGGCGAGAGTGCGATTTGCCGGCTGCCCGCGCAACCCTCTGCGGAGATCGTGCGTGTCGAGGGCGCGAAATGCAAACGAGAGTGCGATTTGGTACGCAACTCTAGTACGCAGAGTAGCTGGGGAGCTGGAAGCGGAGAACTGGCGACGTGGTAGTGCGAGAGTAGTGCGCGGAGTAGCTGGGGAGCGGGAAGATGAGAACTGGCGAGTGGGTAGTACAACTTGAGGGCGTGGAGTATCTGGGGTGCTGGAAGATGAGCACTGGCGACTTTGTAGTACAACTGTAGTACGCGGAGCTGCTGGGGAGCTGGAAGCTGAGAACTGGTGACTTTGTAGTACAACTTTAGTACGCGGAGCAATCTGTGGAGCTGGAAGCTGAGAACTGGCGACTGCGTAGTACAACTTTAGTACGCGGAGTAGCTGTGGAGCTGGAAGATGAGAAGTGGCGACTTGGTAATACAACTTTAGTACGCAGAGTAGCTGGGGAGTGGGAAGATGAGAACTGATGAGTGGGTAGTAGCTGAGAACTCGCGACTTTGTAGTACAACTTTAGTACGAGGAGTAGCTGGGGAGCTGGAAGATGAGAGCTGGCGACTTGGTAGTACAAATTTAGTACGCAGAGCAGCCGGGGAGTGGGAAGAGGAGAACTGGCGACTTGGCAGTGCAACTTTAGTACGCAGAGTAGCTGAGGAGTGGGAAGATGAGAACTGGTGAGTGGGTAGTAGCTGCGAAGGGGCGACTTTACAGCACAACTGTAGTGCGCGGAGTAGCGGGGGAGCTGGAAGATGAGAAGTGGCGACTTGGTAGTACAACTTTAGTTTCACTTGTCATCAAGTTGCAGTCCCACACCTGCTTTGGCAGCTTCCGCTCCTTCCCCTTAGTGTCGTCTTCAGTCTTTACGTGCGTTGGGGATTAGTGCCTTGGGTGCACACGTGAAACGTGAGGAAGATCCTACACCTGAGACTCAGGTCCATGCTGATGGATGGATACCAATGCAATTGGCAGAAAGCCTTTGACTGGAGTTCCTCTGACAGGTCACTGCTTCGAGGCGCTTCTGGCGTGGCTGCCTCAGCATTTTCTGTGTTCATTCCAGCTCGGTTTTTTCCGTGAGATTCCCTGCAGCCGCGCACGCTGCTTCTCCCCTTACCAGCAGCCCAAATGCTCACGACGATGAGCTGGGTTGTCACCGCTTGGCCGCCGGTGGGGGTTTGGGAGGCCTGCGCGCTAC